AAGAAGATAGTACAATTCGATAACAAAATCTTTTATCTTCTGCCTTTTTCATTTAAGAATACAGAAGACACAGAAGCTTATATGTTTTAAAATCATTTGTGCAAATGTGACAGCATAATTTGCATCCTCTAAGTTACAGGGACAGATGTAGAAGATATAGATCATTTAGATTACTTTTCAACAGGAGTAGCAAACAGTATGTGAGCAATGGAATGGTATCATGACATGTTTGGGAAGTATTCTTTAACAATCAGAGAAATTTTCTAGTTTGAACTAGAAAGGTTCATAGGATCATGTCATGGGTCAGAGAAAGTACAAAAGGCAGAACATCTGCTATTCCGTAGTTTGATTTCAGATTAAAGTTGGAATAAAAAAGAGGAGCATTAAATATCTCTAGAGATAAAGTTTGGTCAGAGTGTGAAACTGCTGCTTCTATAATGACTAAGACTGGACTCCAGAGAATGTGATGCTAGATCTAGCTGAATGAATCTAGCATTCAGATCCCATTCCAGGATAAAGATAGAATGGAATCTTTCTGAGAAGAGAGGCTAGGACCTTTCATCCTAAAATCCTTTGGCAGTTAGTACAATGTCTGGCATAGAGTAGGCTCTCAATACCTTCAGACCTATATTCAGTTCTACGTTTGTTCAAAGTACTTTAGTCCATTTAAAATTATTACATGAGCTATGCAAAGCCCACCACTTGCTTTTTGGCAACTCTGCATCAACGAATCGATCGTTTTTCTTTATGAGAGGAAGGTGCTTGATTCTATAAATAACATAATAAAAATGGTGATTTCTAGTAGGTTGTCAGAATTGTTTCAGGATGGATGGAAGGAGGCAAGATTGAAACACTAAAATGTTGTGCTCATAATCATTTCCTTATTTGTCCTTCAAGCCAGTATTATATCCAATATTTGTGGTATGTATTTTTCACTCTGTCCTTCACCCTAGCCTTAAATATGATAAATCTTTCTCATTTTTACCCTTACCTCAATCCAAAAAATAAAACAAAAGAAAGCAAAAAATAAATAAATAAATAAATAACTTCCTATGGGGCAATAATAGATCAAGCGAGGCTTTTGGGTTTGCTTTGTTAAATAGTAAGAGTGACTTGAGCATAATAGAAATCCTTGAGAATAAAATCAAAAGAGAGGGAGAAATTGTAGGTCTCAGAGAAAGAGACACTTGATGGAATGATGTTAGAATAGGCAGGAAAAGGAAGGGTCAAGTGTACAAGTGTAAATTTGAACTGAGGAGGTGATGAGAGGTATGCGATAGATATTGATGACTTTGCTTGGGAGGACAGAAATTAGTCAAAAGGGTTTGTGAATAAAGAAGTGGTTACTTATTAATAATAAAAGAGTTGATTGAATTAAATAGGCACAGCATTTCCGAGTTCATTCAACAAGCATTTCTTGAGTGCCATCTATGTGTCAGGCACTCTGGTAGGCACTAGGACTACACAGGTGAAGAATACAGTCGTGATTCCTGCCCTTATGGGACTTAAGCCCTAATGATGGGGACTGTGCTGGTTATTCTGTTTGCCTCTCTCGCCTAAAACCCCCCTCTTCAAACTCCCCAACCCCCACCCCTGACTCTGCCCTGCTTTGTGCACTACAGACTGTATTTTCTGGGTTGCAGAATGGCTTCTGGTTGGGTTCTGTCATGGAACCACCAGAGGAGATCAGAAGCAGTGAGGAAAAATAAGCCTGGATATGAATTCTCTGATTCCTTCCTCATCTGTGTGCTTATATAGGCTGCATCTCTTCACAACTACAGTGACTACAGCTTCTGGTGGAGGCTCCCTGCCTACTCCTTGTCTCCCATTCTCTCTGATTCTGGTAATGTTGTCTCCTACTCCTTGCTCTTTCAGGCTTAAGTATGAAAATGACTTCCTGCTATCACTCGTCTCTGAGTGCCTCAGCTTCTCATCTTGGTTCTCTTGACCCAGTTCACAAATCTATAAGCTGTCTTTTCACCAAACTCTTTTGAACCATAAGAGTTGGATCCTTTTCCCAGACAGATACTTATTGCTATAGAGACTTTTTTAAAAAATAGAGAAATGCATAAGTAAAATTAATTAAAATTGTGTTAAAGATTATGAAGAAAAAATAAAAATGTTTAGATAGATAATAATGGATTAGAGTTAGATAAGTTGATCACAAATGGCTCTTTGTTGTTGTTGTTGGGTGCCGTCAAGTTGATTTCAACTCAGAGAAACCCCATATGATACAGAAGAACTGCCCCATAGGGTTTTCTAGGCTGAAATATTCACAGGGTCAGATCACCAGGTCTTTCTCCTGTGGATCTTCTGCATAGTTTGAACCACCTACCTTTAGGTTAGCAGTCAAGCACTTAACCATTGCACTACCAGTGCTCCTTAGGGAGATGATATTTAAGTTGAGGCCAGAGACACGAAGGAGTCAGCATGGAAAGAACAGAGGAAGAGTGTTCCAGATAGAGGGGACAGCAAAGGTCATGAGGTAGAGAAGGCTTGACATGCTTCTCGCCAGAATTTGGTTATAACACTCTGTGAGGAACATTTTGTTAAAACACTCTATGAGACAGAGGGAAGAATCAGCCTGGGTAGCAAGATCTTGACTGATCTCTAGTGCCAGATACTAAGAGTTCTCAGAACAGGCAAATGCCCATCTGAGTGCCACATAGTCATTAAATTAAGCGAGAAGGAGCTCAGGTGAGTTGTGGGAACTAAGCAGATGCTCGGCGTATTAATTTGAAATTGCTGTGACCATGTCAGGAAGTAATAGTGATCTATTCCACATGATAAAAAGCTGCAAAGGAATGAATGCATATAAAGATGTTATTGCTCTGGTTTTGTTTACTTTAACCAGGATGGCAGGTAGATCTCTTCATGACACAATTTTTTTTTCATAATTGTGACATTTCACAGAAAAGATACCAGATGACAACAGACCAACTTGACTGAGACTGTCTGTCTTCCTTACTCTCATCCCATCACCTTTTTTTGTAGGGGAGCAAAGAAAAAGTGGAAAAGTTGAAGAAAAATAAAATATTAATAAAAGAAGATAAATGATTTAACCGTTGGATCCTATCTAGAATCAAAGGAACTATAAGGATTAATTTACTAAGCATATTTCAAGGCTTTCAAAAGCAAACGCAACTGACCTATTAAATAAGCCTGCCTGGGGAAATATCCTATAATTTTTTTTCCCATATAAATCTAGTTCTCTAATTTGTTTTACAATATGACCTTCCTTTATTTGTGGCTTTGGTACAATTCCGGCATTTAAGAAATGTTTAACTGCAGGATATGCTAAAACATTTGGTATCAAGCCAAGACAAATCCTTTTGTCAGAACTGAGCTTCTTATTTGGGACCTTTTTGGACATATGTGACCCATAACATGGACATATCATAAAACATAAGAATTTTAAGGTATTATTTAATTTTATGCATTTAACTTATGTTAAGGAGCCCTAGTGGCACTGTGGTTAAGTGCTCTGCTGCTAACCAAAAAGTAGGCGGTTCAAACCCATCAGTTGTTCTGCAGGAGAAAGATGCGGCAGTCTGCTTGCATAAAGATTACAGCCTTGGAAACCCTACAGGGCAGTTCTACTCTGTCCTATAGGGTCACTATGAGTCAGGGTTGACTCGATGGCAACAGGTTTGGTTTTAGTTTAACTATTATCTTTGGTTTTAGAAAGCTTCCTCAGATATTTGCCCAAATATCCCCTCAATATTTTAAGTTCTTGTAATATGTTTCTACTTATGGGTGTCTTTTGCTTAAAAGATGGGCCACACAATTTATTATGCTTTTAGTCTAGTATGATGCTGGTTCTACTTAGATTTGAGTAGAATTGCAAATATGTTACTTTAATCAGTCTTGAAATGAGAAAACATGACACTTACTAGGTTCATCTCTTAAACCTCCATTTACCAGCTGAGTTTTTCATATTTACTAATATTTTCCTCATCCATAGCTACCTACCTATTGCTGTTAAGTTGATTCCTACTCATAGCGACCCTATAGGACAGAGTAGAACTGCCCCATAGGGTTTCCAAAGAGCAGCTGGTGGGTTTGAACTGCTGACCTTTATGGTTAGCACCTGTAGCTCTTAACCACTACACCACCAGGGCTCTGACCATCCATAGCCTAGACCTACTTTAATAAGCACATTTAGGTTGCATGCATTTTATCTGCAAATATGTTGTGGGAGTTATAACTAAAGTGGCATGACTAGAACTCTGATAGACATGCATTTATGCAAATTCTAATTATAGAGTCTAGAAAGGACCCTGAGGTCTTACCCTAAAAAAATAACAGCAACACTCTGTTTAAAATGAATCATAATACTTTAATCAAATATAATAAAAATCCCACTCCTCCTCCTATTCCCAGTGTCCACATTGCAACCATCATTGACAAGTGACTACATCTCATGGGATTTAAGCTCTCATAAATAGAATCTTTAAGCATAGTAGGCATTATGTTGTGATATAAATCATTTTTCTGATTTGGAGAATGATCATGTGTTGTACATATTGATAGCTCCTGCTATCATTTTATCATCATTTCAGAAGATACTGAAGTGACACATTGCTCATTGTAACTCTCATTCTTAGGATTTTTATATTCTTGTCTTATTATATCTTACCAGAATCTACTTCATCCTTTTATCCTCTTTTCATTTACATCATTGCAGAATGAAGTTTAGGGAAGAGACGTAAATTTTTTAAGACAAGCAGGCAAAAAGATATAAAGCTCTTCTTTCATTTAGAGATGTTTCTTTTATGTTAAAATAGCAAAATTATGTACATTATTGTCCACAGAAATGACTAGGAAGAGGACTATAATTGATTACTTTGTCAATTCCCATTTACCCCTGTTTTAAACAAATATCCACCAAGGAGATTCTGGGAACATGAAACCTAGCAAAATAAGTGATCAATCCAAAAACAAGATATATCACATTTTAATAAACAATTGTGTCTAATTATGGAAGAATATGTACTTACTTGCCAAGCGCAAAGCACTCCATCTTAACAGTTGTTCCCTTAGCAGCTGTAACTGTGAAAGGAAAATGGACCTCAATTTTCGGCTCATATTCTCCCATCACACCTGGGAAATAAAAAATCATCTTTAAACATAAAATGAATGTCACAATTTATTTCTAATTCTGGAGATGTTACACTGAAAACCACCGTGGTTTGGTTTTTTAATGTCTGTTTCAAAAACCCAAACTCATTGCCACTGAGTCGTTCCTGATTCATCGCAACTCTATAGGACAGAGTAGAACTGCCCCATAGGGTTTCCAAGAAGAGGCCGGTGGATTCGAACTGTCGACCTTTTGATTAGCAGCACAGACCTTAACCACTGTGCCACCAGGGCTCCAATGTCTGTTTAATGACTGCTAAACTTCTTGATGCATTGAAATAAGAAGTACACTTAAGCTTAATCATTATAATGAAATCCTAGTCTTCCCCTAAGGGCTGGATTGCATGTATGTTCAATGCAATTTAAGTAATAATTATTGAAAGTGCTAATCAACACTGGTAGTTCAGTTACTGATTATTCTCCAAAGGAAATAATTAATTAAGATCATTTCCATGGTAAATAACTGTGTTGATATTTTAAAAGTAAACAATATCAGAACTTACTTAGTCATTGCCAAATAAATGAATATCCATTTATTAAGTCAGCATATATTTACTGAATTGCTATAATATGCAACACATTGTGGTAGGCATTATAGAGGTTACAAAGATAAATCAGCCATGGTCCGTACTCTCAAGCACTCAATAAGAACACAGGCATACCTTGTTTTATTGCATTTCACTTTATTGTGCTTTGCAGATATTTCGTGTTTTACAAATGGAAGGTTTGTAGCAATCTTGCATTGAGCATATCCATAAGTGCTATTTTTCCAACAGCATGAGCTCACTTTATGTCTCTGTGTCACATTTTGGTAATTCTCACAATACTTCAAACTTTTATGTTATTATTGTATTTCTTATGGAGATCTGTGATCAATGGTGTTTGATGTTACTATTATAATTGTTTTGGGGTGCTGCAAACCGTGCCCATACAAGACAGCATATTTAATCCATAAATGTGTGTGTTTTGACTTGTTTACCAACTGGTCATTTGCTCCCCCATCTCTCTTCCTTTCCTCAGGCCTCCCTATTTCCTGAGACACAACATTATTGAAATTAGGCCAATTAATAACCCACAATGGCCTCTAAGTGTTCAAGTGAAAGAAAGAGTAGCACATCTCTCACTTCAAATCAAAAGTCAGAAATGATTAAGCTTAGCAAGCAAGACATATTGAAAGCTGAGACAGGCCAAAAGCTATGCCTCTTGCACCAAATAGCCAAGTTGTGAATGCAAAGGAACAGTTCTTGAAGGAAATTAAAATTGCTACACCAGTGAACACACAGATGATAAGAAAGCAAAACAACCTTACTGCTGATATGGAGAAAGTTTTTGTGGTCTAGATAAACGATCAGACCAGACACAACATTCCCTTAAGCCAAAGCCTAACAAGGCCCTAACTCTCTTCAATTCTATGAGAGAGGTGAGGAAGCTGGAGAAAAGAAGTTTGAAGCCAGCAGAGGTTGGTCCATGAGGTTTAAGGCAAGAAGATGTCTCCATAATATAAAGCACCAGGTGAAGCAGCAAGTGTTGATGTAGAAGCTGTAGCAAGTTATCCAGAAGATCTAGCTAAGATAACTGATGAAGGTGGCTACACTAAACAACGAATTTTCGACGTAGACAAAACAGCCTTACGTTGGAAGAAGATGCCATCAAGGACTTTGATAGCTAGAGAGAAGAAGTCAATGCCTGGCTTCAAAGCTTCGAAGGACAGGCTGACTCTCTTGTTAGGGGCTAATGGAGCTGGTGACTTTAAGTTGAAGCCAATGCTCATTTACCATTTTTTGAAAATCCTAGGGCCCTTAAGAATTACACTAAATGTACTCTGTCTGTGCTCTACAAATGGAACAACAAAGCCTGGATGACAGCACATTTGTTTACAGCACTGTTTACTGAATATTTTAAGCCCACTGTTGAGACCTACTGCTCAGAAAAAAAGATTTCTTTCAAAATATCACTGGTCATTGACAATGCACCTGGTCACTCAGGAGCTCTGATGGAGATGTACAAGGAGATTACTGTTGTTGTCATGCCTGCTAACCCAACATCCGTTCTGCAGCCCATGGATCAAAGAGTAGTTTTGACTTTCAAGTCCTATTATTTAAGAAATACTTTTTGTAAGGCTATAACTGCCATAGATAGTAATTTCCCTGATGAATCTGGGAAAAGTAAATTGAAAACTTTCTGGAAAGGATTCACCATTCTAGATGCCATTAAGAATATTTGTCATTCAACGAAGGAGGTCAAAATATCAACATTAACAGGAGTTTGGAAAGGGCTGATTCCAACTCCTCATGGATGACTTTGAGGGGTTCAAGACTTCTGTGGAGGAAGTAACTGCAGATGTGGTGGAAACAGAAAAAGAACTAGAATTACAAGTGAAGCCTGAAGATGTGACTAAATTGCTGCAATCTCATCAAAAAACTTTAATGGATGAGGAGTTTCTTCTTACGGATGAGCAAAGAAAGTGATTTCTTGAGATGGAAACTACTCCTGGTGAAGATCCCGTGAACATTGTTGAAATGACAACAAAAGATTTAGAATATTACATAAACTTAGTTGGTAAAGCAGTGGCAGAGTTTGAGAGGATTCACTCCAATTTTGAAACAAGTTCTACTGTGGGTAAAATGCTATCAAACAGCATGGCATGCTACAGGGAAATCTTTTGTGAAAGGGAGAGTCAACTGATGTGGCAAACTTCACTGTTGTCTTATTTTAAGAAATTGCCACAGCCACACCAACTTTCAGCAACCACCACCCTGATCAGTTAGTATCCATCAACATCAAGGCAAGATCCTCCACCAGCAAAAAGATTATGACTCACTGAAGGCTCAGATAATGTTTAGCATTTTTTAGCAATAAAGTATTTTTTAATGAAAGTATGTACATTTTTTGTTTTAGACATAATACTATTGCACATTTAATAGACTACAATATAGTATAAGCATAATTTTTATATGCACTGGGAAACCGAAAAATTCATGACTCACTTTATTGCAATATTCACTTTATTGTGGTGCTCTGGAACCAAACCTGCAATATCTCTGAGGCATGCCTGTATTCTTAAAGAGAGAAACAGCATATCGTCCAGTGTGTAGAAAGCTAAGTATCTAAATAACTGTAATGCAAGGCAGGAAGTGATGAGTGCCATGAATGAGGTACCCCTAAAATAGTATGTGCACTTGAAGGGAAGGGACAAACATTGTATTGGTCAGAAAGGTTTAATGGAGGAGACACTGTTTTAATTGGCATTGTAAGAATAATTATAATTTGGGAAGGTATGAAAAAGCAGGGGAAGAAGCAAATGGAATTGTAGGAACAAAGCCAAAGAGGAAATTACCAGAAATAGGACTACCAATTTTTCTGGCGCGTTGATATTTAAATGGAAGCGATAGTTAAGTATATTAGAAAATACAGATGGAGGCCAAAGGATAGACGGCCTTGATTATCAGGGCAAGGTGTTTGGACTTACGAATGAAAGTAATTTGTTGCCATTGCGGGTTTTGAATAGGGAATTGGCATTATGCTGAGATGTACGTACTGGAATTAGAGCACAGACAGGTAAATCAATTAGGAGATTATTTCAGTAGTTTAAGATAGAAGTATAAAGGCTTGAATTATGGAAATAAAAAAAGAATAAAGGCACTAATGGGAAAAACCAAGCAACAATTGAATTGACAGAACTTGGCACACATGGAGTGCTGGGGATAAGGGTGTTAGCAGTGTCGGTAATGACACTAAGCTTTCTGGCTTGGGGGGCGGTTGGGTGATGTCAATAAATAAAAAAGGGATCAGCTTTAATAGGAAAGCTGATTACTTTTGTTTTAGCAGTACTGTGTTTGAAATAGAAGAAAATTAGGAAAAAGTGTCTAACCAAGTAGTATAAATGAGAAAATGAAGCTAGGCATGAGTTCTAGATAGGTAATACACATTTAGCATCATGATTTGGAGAGGATAGTTGAAGCCATGATACAGCATACCCTTGTACCTGTCAACAACAATGCACTAGCTGAGGGCTGGCCAATTCTGCTGCTACTGCCAGCAGGCAGCATTGGAGCTACGTAATTTTCTCTGAACAAATAATTTTTTAGGAGCCTCCTATATGTAAATCACCACAGAAAGAACAACTATGATTTAGGGCACAGATGCTTCCCTGAGAAGCATATACTTCCACCATACCAATTCAATTCATATGCTGAGCAAATACTACAAGAAGCTGGCCTATATGAAGAAGAATGTGGCATCATGACTGGCGGAAGACTCATTAACAACTTGTGATATGCAGATGACACAACCTTGCTTGCTGGAAGTGAAAAAGGACTTGAAGCACTTACTGATGAAGATCAAAGACCACAGCTGCCAATATAGATTGTACCTCAACATAAAGGCAACAAAACTCCTCACAACTGGACCAATAAGCAACATCATGATAAATGGAGGAAAGATTGATGGTGTCAAGGATTTCATTTTACTTGGAGCCACAATCAACATCCATGGAAACAGCAGTCAAGAAATCAAATGACCCATGGCATTAAGCAAATCTCCTACAAAAGAGCTCTTTAAAGTGTTAAAAAGCAAAGATGTCACTTTAAGGACTAAGGCGCACCTGACCTAAGCCATGATATTTTCAGTTGCCTATGTGCATGTGAAAGCTGGACAATGAATAAGGAAGACTGGAAAAGAATTGATTCCTTTGAATTATGATGTTGGCAAAGAATACTGAATATACCATGGACTGCCAGAAGAGCAAACAAATGTGTCTTGGAAGAAGTACAGCCAGAGTGCTCCTCAGAAGCAAGGATGGTGAGACTTTGTCTCACATACTTCAGATATGTTATCAGCAGGGACTAGTCCCTGGAGAAGGACATCATGTTTGGTAAAGTAAAGGGTCAGTGAAAAAGACGAAGACCCTCAGTGAGATGGACTGACACAGTGGCTGCAACAATTGAGCTCAAGCATAACAACGA